AAACTGAGTGCCGGCCGAATTTGTCTTTAACCATTTGATGCTTGATCCAATTCAAATAAATCTTATATCATTCGAAATCCCTCGATAAGAGGAATCCTTTTTCTAGCTTAATAGATCAAATCTGATCCCCTATTAAAATGTTATAACCCGATAAATCTGAAAAGCACTAAATAACTGAACTTATCGTGTTATAACTTTTAGATGAATGATCTGATTTGATCTATCCTAAGAAGAAGGTACCGCTTATTGAGGGCTTTCGAATGATATATGATTTATTTGAATTGGATCAAGCTCAAAAAAGTTGTAGCCAATCAATGTCGGATGGCACTCAGTTTGTGGGCGTATAACCGATAAGTACCGTTAGCTTACCAGGGAAAGGGCGAATTCAATCGGTTTAATCCTATCCGATTTTTCTGAAATTAACTCAATACTTAAATATGAGGCGTTAAAGATAAGTACTATGTACATATTTAGGATATCTGTGCAAAAATTGAATTAATTATTTTATTAACAGTTTTGAGGCTGCGTCCTAAAGAAGCCCATCTTCTATAACGCCCATTTCTCTCTCCCTAATATTTAATTTATTTTTAAATTGTGCTGTTCTTTGTTTACAAATTAAAAAAAAACAAATTAAATAATTAATTAAATTACCTAAGTGATTTTTGGAATTTAATTGTGTGGGCGTTTAAAGAAAATAAGTTAGAGAGGATATAAAAAATGAATAAATTATTTTACTATTATTCTTTCATCACTAAATTTTTTTAGAAAAAAAAACAAATTTTCTTCCTTATTATTTAATATAAATATACGTAAGCAAAAATAAAATAGAAAAAAATTTAAAAAAAATAAAAGCCAAATTATTTGCAAAAATTTAAAGAATATTATTAACACCCAAAAATATTACTAATTTAATTCTAAAATTTTCTTTTAATTAAAAAAATAAACTTACCAATAAAATAAGTTGAAGTATGGGTTCTAATCTCAAAAAAGTGTGTTGGACTGCGGCTCAGCTCTGTATGATCCTCTTCTATGCCTGGTGCTATTTTAACTTCTAGAACCTCACTCAATGGGATTTCCTAAATTGAGAAATTTTTTGACTTTTATTAAGGATTTAATAGCTCTCTAGGCAAGAGAGAACTCATTTAAATGGACTCATTTTAGTCTCCCCCCCCCCCTAATTAATTTAATATTTTAATTAAATTTGTATCATCTACCTTATAATAACTGCTTGCTGTCTCATCTTTAAACATAGTAATTGCTTTAGGGTCTAATCGCCAAAAATGCCTTAAAAATAATTTTATTTCAAAAATTATTCATTTTCTTTTACTTTTTCCTCATAGAATGCCTTTCTGTATAATGTACCATCCATCCTTCCTTGAGTGCCCTATTTGTTGTTGGCCTTTTTGTTTGCTTTTTGGACATTACAACACGCATTAATGGAATATTTGCACTTTCTTTAGCAATATTTAAATCCTCATCTTCATCTAAATCAGTCATTGTATTTATTGTCTTTTGTTGTTCTTCTTTTTGTTGTTGTCTGATTTTTCCTGTTTTACTGCCGCTAGTATTTTCCTTCTCTGTACTGGAAAGAGGAGCACTCGGAGTTGATTGAGCCCAAGGCTTTTGCAAACGAGAATTTGCTGAAGTTGTTGTTGTTGCAGTTAAATCTTCGTCATTTAGTACTTAAAATGAAAAAAAGAACATATTTTTAAACAAAAATAAACACAAAATCCATTCAATAAAGCAATTTATACACACAAATAAACTAACCACTCTCCTCTGTTGATCCATCATCACTTTCATCGCACGGCTCATTTTTAATTTTTCTAAGATATGAAGACTGTTGATTTGATTCTAGAAAAGAAAGAAAACTAAAAAAAGCAAAGCAAAAAATAACAAATTAATTTTGAAATAATTATTCGAATATATGTATTTATAAAAGAATTTCAAGCAACATAAAGAACCCCCCCCCCCCCCCCCCCAAAAAAAACTAGAATTATTAAATTTCCAAAATTAATTTGTTTATAATTCCAAAAAATACACAGCAAAAAACAAAGGGGAAAGCAAAATTTCATATAAAAAAGTTTTCTTACTTTCTTCACTCCCCGCTTGCATTCCTCGATCACCCAATTGACAATTAAAGGGGGATGTTGCTGATAACCCTCCAGCACAATCTTTAGCTGCATGTTGGGCACACTTTTTGTGACAATTATATTTGCAGTCTTAGAAATTAAAGATATGTACAAACATTTTTTTTCAAAATTATGTACCTCTGCATTGAAGTCCTTGACGTATTAACCCTTTTAAAAGCTTTTTACAATGTTGGCAGACTGTAGGACGTTTATAGCTGTGAACTTGGAATGTATGGGGAACCTAAAAATTAATTTGAACTTTAATTGGTTTGGGACATTTTTTATGATTTTCCTGTACCCAAAATAATTCCTAAATTGAACCAATTGATGAATTTTTCCGGTAATTTATACAAGAATTTATACAAAAGCCTTTCCAGGGTAAGCCCAAGACTCGGGGTGACGAAACTTCGATTATTAAAATAATTACTTTAATTCTAGTTGCTTCTGCCACTTCCATCCATAAAGGTCGTCCACTCCAACTGCTGCTACGATCTTTGCGAGGCATTTGAAGAAACTAGACAAAAGAATAATTTAATTTGTTAATTTCTGGTATTTTATTAAAGGTAAAAGATTTTACTAAACCCTTAATTTATCCCCAACTTGTAGGTAAGTTTAAGAAATAAAATAGGTATTTTTTAGATATTTAAAGAATTTGAACAAAAACTCTTGAAACTCGTTAAAATCTTAAAATTAGGGTTTCTGATTTTTGGAATAATTTTTAAATTAAAATCATTATATAAATATTTATTTTTCTATTTAACGGTAAAAATTTTATTTTAATAAAAGTATAGAGTCATGACGATGATAAATAAAAACAAGGCTATATTTAGCCCTGTTGGGGACACGGAAAAAGAAAATGAACAAAAAATATCTCTAATTTTTTCTATTTTTAGAAGAAAATTTGTAGAGAAAAATAATGTGTAGTTTATATTCTGATAAATTATAAAGTACACAAAATATAGAAAAATTTTGAGTATTTTATAATTAACACAAAGTTCAAAATAATTTTAAAAATCAAATATTTTTAGAGACATTTTTTCAAAAATAATTCGAGAAATCCTCAATTAATTACTAAAATCAAATCTAAATGTTTTGAAATTAAATAGGAGATTGACTAAAATGAACTTTAAAAACAGACTTTTAGCTAGAAAATAAAGAAGGAGAAATCCCTTTATTTTCAATCCAATCCAAAATTACTAGATCCTTTTAAGGCTATAATCAGAATTATTGAAGGAAATCTAGGGAAAATGAAAATGGGAATTTTTCTTAAAAAATTTCCTTCCTTTAGCATGGGAGGTTTCTTTATTTAACTTTATTCAGTGAAAGTCGAACCAAAAGATTAAAAATAAATGCCTAAAAATTTTGCAAAAAAAGAGAAATATATTTTCGAGAATGTTAGAGACTGAAAAATAGTAGGAGTAATTAAAGAAGTAAAATTAAAATGTTTGGAAAGATTCCAAATAAATTTGAGAAATTATTTGATCCAAAAAAATTTAGTTGAAAAAACTACAAACATTTCCTCCAATCGGATCTCCATCATCTAAAGACCGTTCACTAGTAACACAAATAGCTGGTTGTTGTTGTTGTTGTGTTCCCCCTCCTCCCCCTCCTCCTTTTTCTTCTTTTTGATTTTTAATATTTGAATTATTAGAATTTGTTGATATTGTTGATAAATTTTTAAAATTATTATTGCAAGTTGTACAAGGAAATATAGAAGAAACAACACTTGAAGTTTCTGTAAAAGATGCCGAGGAAAATGATGCTCTAGGTGGGAGAGTTGTAGAAAGGCCATTTAATGCTTGAGAAGAAATGTTGCCGCTACCAAAAATTGGTGACTAAAAAATAATATTTTTTTGGAAATTATTTTTTTCCTTTTTTACTTGAAATCCAACTGAATTTCGAGGTGACAAAGGTATAGCCGAAGGTCTACGTTGTCTACTACCGCTGCAATTGTTTGGAATTTTGGAGGCACAACGTTTGTGGTAGTTTAAACCGCAACCTGAAAATTAATTTGAATTTATGTATTTTCTCTCTAAATTTTGATTATTCTTTTAAAAATTTATTATTCTGATTACAAATATTTAATCTTTTCTCAAACAATTTCTGATCCAAGTTTATTTTAAATATTCTTGTCCCTTCTAAAAATACCTTGACATTTCAATCCTTGTTTGACTAGTCCAAAAAGTAATTCCCCACAAAAATCACAGAATGTAGGTGTTTTGTATGAGTGAACGTAGAGTGTATGGGGATGAACTACTAAACGCTCGTGTTGAGGACAAGCTATAAAAATTGAAAAAATCAAAACAGAATTTTTTTGGAAATTTTTTAATTAATGATTTTTTGTTAAATATGAGAAATGATAGAATAAATACAGAGATTATAAAAAATTTTTAAAATTATTTTAAAATATTAAAAGAATATTTTTTAACAATTCCAATACAAAACTTACATCCAAGCACAAAAATATCCATTTTTGTAAAAAAAATATTAAAATTTGATGGGAATTTGTTTGATTAAATATTTTTTTACTTTAAGTTGATCTAATGTTTGCATTAAAGATAAAAAAATAAGAAAAAAGTCAATAAAAAATAAGAAAAAATATTTGATAAATCTTTTTAAAACAGAGTAAATAGGTAGAAAGTAAAAGTCAGAATTATATGAAATTAGAGGTTATTCTGTGGAGTTTATTTGAAGTCAAATACATATAGTGTAATCCTTATCAGAGCATAATTCCTTTTTTATTTAAAAAAATATTTTTGATATTTATTTTATAAATTAACGGCCAAGGAATCTGTTAAGAGAGAGGAGAAGAGATTGTGTGTGTGTGTGTGTTTGTGGTGGTATTTGTTTGCTATCCTTTTTGCTTTTTTAGTGGATTGCGGGAGAATGAGCCGTGAATAAAAATGAATGGTGTGGGAAAGAAAAAACTGAAAAAAATGTGAGTAGGAAAGGAAAAAATAATGGCCAAGAAGAAGCGCAAAAATAAGGGAAGGATATTATATAGCTAGAAAATATATATAAAATACTAAAAAGGTCTTTAAATAAATGAAAAGAGAAGTACGAGATTTTATAAAAAAAATAATTTGCGGGGGAAGAAAAAGGATTGTGAGATGCTGCCAATATATATCTTATGAACATTAAAGGAGGTGAAGGAAAATAAATGAATTTGTGTTTTGTAAAAAAAAAAGAATAAATAATTTAATTATAATTTATATGTATATTAAATAGAAAATAGAAATTAAATTAATTTTTGTAAATTTTAATTTCCGGATTTATTTAATAAGGAGGGGGGGGGGAGGAAAGAGAGAAAGAAAGAGATTAATTTATAATTTTTATAAATATTTTTGGATTTAATAAATTTTAAAGAAAAATATAGTTAAAAGACTTAACAAATATATAAAATAATTTAACAAAACTAAAAACGGAAACTTGGATTTTTTAGAAAGAAACATGTTTAAAAAGAATATTGAGAAAAACTCGTTTTTATTAAAATTAAAAATATTTTAATTTTAATGCTATTTATTGTCTATACCAGTGTTTTAACAAAATAAAATTTTTGTTGAATTTCAAATTTATTTATTTAAACAGACAAAAGAAAATAAAAAAGAATGAGGAAATTAAAATTAAAATGATTTTTGAACTTCAGAGAATGCCGAGGAGATAAAATTAATTAATAATTAGATAGAGAAGAGGGATTTATTTTTTTAAAAAAGATTTTATTTAAATTTAGAAGACCCTCTAAAATTAATTAAAAATATATTAAAGGTTTGGGAAAATATACAAGAAATACTCGAATATTTTTAAAAGAGTTTTTTAAAGGAAAAAAATTAGTTAATTAAAATCCTTTAATAATTCAAATCCTTAAAAACCACGTGATAATAAATTTAAAAATTCAAAAAAAGATGCTGTATTGTTTCTTGAGAGGTCTCTTTTTAATTTAAATTAAAGATAAATATTAGAGAGGGGGGATATATTTACTTTTAAATAAAATTTTGAGTAAAAATTATTGATACAAAAGCCTAAAAATGAGTGAAATGTTGCCATGGAAATGAAGGGCAAAAAATAAATGAATGAAAGCATGCATGGATGGGTAAAGATGGGGAAGAAAAATATAATTTTATAATTTTGAAGGTAATAATGAAAAGAAGTAAATGACTGATGAATGATAAAAGAAAATTATAAAATAGGAAAAAAATAATTTCTTTTAAAATTTTATTTAAAAAAAGTCTGAATAAAAATAGGTAAATTGAAAATTTTAGTAATAAAAAAATTAATTTAATTTTTTTATCACTTTAATTAGCCAGATAAAAATAAATAAAATATTTATTTTAAGAGTTGTGTTTAAAAAAATTAAGAAGATTCTCATTTTGGAACCAAATAAATAAAAAATATTTCCTATTTAGCTAATAATTAATAAAGAAATTTTTAATAAAAATGTACTTATTTATTTATTTGAGGAAATTTTTTTTTTAAATTTATGAGTGAAAATAACACTTTTGTGTAAGGCATTAAAATCGATTCATAGTGAAAAATAGCACATGCGGGTAACCTGCCCTTTGATGGAATTGACTTTGAATGAATAAAAAAGGTTAATAAATAAAAGGAAAGTGAAAATAAATAATTTGAGAAGAATAAAATTTAAAAATATTTATTTGGGTTAATAAATTAGAAAAAAATAAAATTATATTTTTTTTGAAAACCCACGACTAATAACAATTTCCAAAAGACATCCTTCACTTATTTCATCAGCTGATTGTATCAATTGAAGAATGTTAACAGAACGAGGGTCATGTTTATAGAGAAGTATGTGATCTGCTAAACGATCACCTAAACGCTGTTTTGGATGCTGAAAATTAAAAAAAAATAAATTTGTTTTCAAAATATTCTTTTAATTAGAGTTGAGCGGGATCGGGATTCAAAAAAAGTTTATGCCTACACCGACCGAGTTTACACCAACCGATCCCGACCGGGATCCCAATCTCGTTCAACCTACATACTTTTAATTATTTTCTCTTACATGTTTATTAACAAAATCCACAGCTTCTTGTTTAAGTCTTCTTAAAGAAATATTTTCTGGTTCAATGTGAAATGATTCGAGTACTAAACCAGACTGAAATTGAAGAGAAAATCCACTCATTTTTTCTGTTGTTTTATTCAATTAATAATTTTTGTAAAAATATTAGCCATTTATTCTTGAGAAAAATTCCGTTAAAATATTTTGGGATTACTAAAAAATGAGGAAAAAATCATTATTTAAAGAGATTATATTAAATATAAGAATTTTTGTTAAAAATTCTTTTAAGGATTTTATTTAATAAAATATTTGTTGGAAAATATAAATAATCAAAAATCAATTTGTGGATATCCACATATATTGTCTATTTATAATAGAAAAGAATAATTAACTCGGAAGTGTTTAAAAATAGATACGAAGAAAATAAAATTATGTACGTAACCGCAAAGGTATCGATTCAGAAAGGAAAAGTTTTTTTTCTAAATAAAAATATAAAATTGTTTTTTAGAGGAAAAAATTTAAAATAAATAAACGTAAAATAATAAAATGAATTTATTTATATATCCATACATATTTATTTGGTTAAAATTAATTAATGCCAAACTTTATTACAAAAATAGGCACACATGTGTTTGTTTGTTTAGTAATTGCAGCCGTTGTTTGGCAAAGATATCCGGGCGCTGTTTTGCCTGGGCTTTTGCTTCTAATTTTTCAAATATTTTAACCTAGAATAACAAGCAAATACACTGTTAGCCAGTTTTAAAACAAAAATTTTCTTAGGGTACCGACGTGTGTTTATAAAAGTCTTGGTCTTGGAGTGCAGTCTTGGTCCTGAAATTTTGAAATCTTCGGTTGGAATTTCAAAATTTGAATCTTCGGTCTCTCAAAATTTCATCCCATTTTTATAAATACACGCCTGTAATTACTGCGCCATAAAATCCCACTCCCATTCTTAATAAAAGTTTTTTGTTAGCTTTTATATTTAGTTTTACGGCTTATCCTAGAGCATTAATTGGAATTTGTAATGGAAATGATATGTTAAGTAAATGGTGTGGATTTCTCCAGGCAATGTGTGTGTGAGTGTGTAAATGTCAGGTGAAGAATAAAAAAACAAAATTTACGTGGAAATAATTTGTAAGAGTTTTAGGGGATATGATCCCTGAACGATTAACGCCCCCTCAATGCTAGATATACGTGAATTAACTTAACATTGAAATGTGCTAAACGAATGAGTTAATTTTCGAATTAAGAATAATTTGTGGATAAAAACGAATTTCTGTTTAATTTAGAAAATATTTTTAGTAAAATATTTTCTATTAAACTTTTATTTTATTAAAAGCAATAGAGAATGTTAAAATTAAATAGAGAAAATGAATTTTTGTTAAAAAATTTAAAAAGTTAGAGAGTTTAAAAGGTAAGTGTTTTGTTTGTTTTTGCTTTTCCCTTTATTTATTTCCTCAATTTTTCTCACTTTTCTGTCAGGTAAAATGAGTTTTTTTAAACAAATGAATTTATTTAAAGTAAAAATATTTTAAAAATACTTTCTCACGTTGAAATTAGCGGTTTAGTTAATAATATTTAAATGATTTGGAATATTTTTACTTTAATAGAAGGACACTCCTTAAAGAAATTTTACTTTTGTTAAATAAAATATTAACAGAACAATTTAATAAAAGTAACAAACTAAAAGGATAATTGAAAATACTTATAGAAAAATGTTTTTTTAAATTGTTAGTAAAGATAAAAATATTATTTAGATGTGTTGGAATTAAAAAAGTAAAGCAGTCTTAATATGGTAAGCGCTCAGATTCCATACTCGATCATTTTGAGCTTGCTGAGATTTTCCTGAACTATAATACTTAGTTGCTGAATTAACGAATAAAAAAATAATTGTGTTAAGAAACAAAGAAATTTAAAAATTTTGAATAAAAATATTTAAAATTAATTAAAAAATGTAAAAAGGAAAAATTCGTTTTTTTTAAAAAATAATAGATAATGCATTGATATTTTAAGGAAATTGAGAAAATGAGAAAAAGAAGAATTGAAACTTTAAGGCTTAAAAAATGACAAAAACAAACAAAAAGGAGGTAAACAAAAGAAAAATAAAAATATATTTTAAATTTTCTCGTTTAAAAAGGTAAAAATTCTTAAAAAGTTTAAACAATACATACAAATAAAGAAAATGGCAAAAATAAAATTTAGCAATGATTGTAAGTAGTTAAAATTGATAGTTAAACTTTTTACAAGTCTCAAACGGCTTTTTGAAATAAATGAATGTCGAGATTTCTTCTCTTGAAATACGCCGAAGGTTTAGATGTGGTAAATTTTAATTTTCTTAAACATATAAATATAAAGAATGGACAGACAACTGAGTTTAAATTAAGATAACAATAAATCAGAATTTATTATTAAATTTTTATCCAAAACTCGGAATTTTTGTTTGAAAAAACAATTTATTTAAATATTATTTAGTAGTTTTTAGGGAAAAAATAATAAAAAAAGGAGAAGTAATATATGGGGATATGTGTATTGTCATCAAAAAGTCTTTTTCTCGTAAACTGCCATCAAGCACCTTTATTTAAATTGAAAAAAAAGAGGAGGAGGAAGGAATGGCACAAAAACGTTTCTTCACTCACAGTCTACTAGCTTTAAAAGAAATAGATGAGGGTAAAAAAAGAGAAGGAAATGTGGCAAAAATGTACTAATGAAATTGATGGGGGCTATCTCCCCTTTCCTATTTTCAATTCTTTTTTTTCCTTTTTCGATATTTATAGCTAGAAATTGACATAAAAGTCATTCACCTATTTTCCTCTTTTTTTTTTAATTTAAAAAAGTTTATAAAAGGTTAATTCATTAATAAAAACAAGACAATTCCTTTTTAATTTTAATTAAAGTTTGTTTAGGTTATTTGGTTTTTAATTTGGGGTGTTATCTCATATCTTAGAAATACAATTTTAATTTAAAAACTCTTCAAAATCTCATTCTTTTTTTTTAATAAATTATTTTATACAAAACATATATTTTTGTTTTGCGCGTAGTGAGAAGTAAATACAAATAAATATTACTAGTAAATATTATTGCTGCTAACTTGGCAAAAACTAGAATTACTGAGGGAAATGAATTAATGTTTATTTGAATAAAAAATGTTTTGAAAATGAATAAATGTATTGGCAAAATACAAATATGTATGTATACCTAATTATAATAATTCAATAAATAAATAATAAATTTGTTATTTTTTTTGATGAATATAAAATTATTTTTAGTTTTTACTAACCGTTTAATAAAATTAAATTTAATATTAAAAATAACAATAGGAAGCGAAAGTTGGGTAAAATAATTGGTAAATAATTGGGTAAATAATTGGGTAAAGTGTTTAGTGAGGGAAAATACCATATTTAGTCTAATTATACATAGGCTAATTGAAAGGTAAAATTTATAGGGTTTGAGAATAGAAAGGCGGCTAGTATTAAGTTAAATTCGAAACTGAGCTGCTACTTACCTCCAATTTTATTTTTGAGGAAAAACGTGCATAAAAGATTCTACAATATTTTTTATTAAAAATTAGAAAAAAGAAACACTTTGAATAAAAAGATATATTTTAAAAGCTCAAAATAATATAAAATGGTGGAAGACTCAAAAAAATATATACATACTTATATTATAGTAGTATTAGATTATAAAGAAGATTAAGATAAAAAAAGAACTAATCTCTTTCACTCGTTTTCACTTTAGCTCATTTTTAATGTCTAAACTGACAGTCTTCTTTAAGAAAAATTATTTACGTAATTTGGGGCAAGTCTTGAGCTGTTTTGAATATTTTTTTGTTATTATTTTAAAGAAAAGATAATCTTTTCTGATTTTGATGAAATATAGTATATATTTAGTAAATAAATAAATATATTTTGAGGAACATAAATGGAAATTTAGAAATTTGTTTTAAACAAAAATAGAAAATAAAGTTGATAAATTATTAGAAAGGAGCTTTTACAAGAAAAATATATACACTCTATGTAAAAAATCCATTTTCGGTGTTAAGTTAATGAATATTTTCGAAATGTGGTATCTCAATACACTTAACTAATCTGCCAACATTCCCAAAGTTTCATAAATTTTTTGTTAAATACAAAATTTTGACTAATTTTTAAAATAATTTTTCCTAAACAGGTGTTTCATAATTATTACACACTTTTTATTTTAACAATTTTAATTAAATACTTTCTAAGTTACTAAACTAAAACAAATAGAATTTACTACTAAAAACCCCATTTATTAAAAAAAATTTTATTATTAAATAAATTACAATAAATTCTAATTTTTATTTTTCAAAGCAATTCTGAAGAAGCAGTACATTTTTTAATATCTTGAATAATTGCTAAAAATTGTTTGAAAAGTTGTCGATTTTGACATCCTTGTGTTACTAAAACTTGCCAAACCTTAAATTAGAAATTTACAAAAAAACATTCCTAAATTTAATTGCCTCTTCCTCCCTCAAAGTAGCAAAAGTTAATTCATCAACTTCTTCAGCCCCAAAGCATTGATTAAATTGTTCTTCTAAATTCCATTCATTTAATTTGGATTTAACCAATTCTTTAGATAATTTTTTAAATTTAAATAAATTGTTTTAAAAAAACCTTTAGTTAAATGTTGGGGAATATAAAAAATATTTTGGGTGGAAGTTTGGGGGGTAGAATTGGGAGGATTTGAATGAGTAACAAACATTGAATAACTACTCGATGAATTTCCCCTAAAAATAAATAAATAAAAATATCTAAATTTCTAATTAAAAAAAACAAATTATAACTTAACATTGTGTTTGATTATTATTGGAATTAAGGCTAGCACCAGAACCACTGTCAGAAGCACATCCTTGAGTGGAAGATTTTTGTTGGCTTAATCTGTGAGGAGCTTTTCTCATAATTCTTTGAGGGTCAATTTGTGGGGCTTTTTAATTTTAAATTTTAATTAATATTTATTTATTTTTACAAACATTTTTGTGTTGCATTTCTCATAACTCTAGATGTTGTACTTTTAGAAGAATGTTTTCTAGAAGGTTCATATCGATGTTTCTATTTAAATTTAAAAAATACCCAAAATAATTTAAAAATCACCGTTTTAAAAAGTTCCTTTTCCGCATTTCTTTGTGCAGCAGAATATAACCCATCAGAATCCTTTTCCTCTCCTTCTTCCACCAAAATGTTTCTGCCAATATTTTTTGAAGGTATTGGTACAAGAGAATGTCCTTTAGTCATCCAACTCTTTAAAATTATTTTTTTAAATATTTTTTTAAATTTACAATAGCCATTTGTCTAGCCATTAATACTAAATCGTCAGCTGAAGATTTTTTTGGGTCAGGGGGTCTGGCATCTCCTCTAAATTTAATGTTTTAGAATATTTTACAAAAATTAAAAATTTTATTTAAAATATTTTATTTTTTCACCTTAAAATATGTTCAGCAAGCACAAATCGTGCCGGCCCCTCAATCAATTGATTAACATTTTCTGAAGCTAATTTTAATATTGAAATAGTTAGTTGGTCATTATTATTATTTATTCCTCCAAAATCTTCTTTAATTTGATTATTATTTAAATTTGTTTCTTCAGCACTTCCCAAACCCATTAAATTTTTTCCGATACTTTCAAGTGCTTTTCTAAGTCTAGCTGGAGTTATTGCCCCTCGATAAGAAGTTGTTGATGGGGTCTTTTTAATTTTATAAATTTATTTTAAAACGAATTTATATGAAATTTTACTATTAAATTTTAATAATTAAAATTATTATTTCGTTAAGGTTAATTTTACTAATCAAACATGTGCCAAAATTTAGAATTTCACTTAGTTTCTCTTTTATTCTAAAAATTATTTTATTTAATTTATAAATTTAATTTTTAATCCAAAACACTAAACTAATTTCATTTACAAATATTTACCTCTTGTTGATTTTTCAAAGCGGATTGACTACTTGCACTTCCTTCTCTTGGTCTAGTAATAATTCCAGCCATTTTACTTCCTCCTTTTTTTAACCAATGAATACATAATTGTTCCATACATTCACGATTAATTTCTGAATACATCGCTAAATCTAAGGCTGAGAAGGGTTCTTTTGTAGTTGAGAGAATACGTGGATTGGCAAGGTAGCGAAGTAAAAGTTGAACCATTTGACTTTCTCTTTATAAATTTTTTGAATTTTTTAAAAAGTAATTAAATGTTTTTGTAATGGTTTAGTAAGTGGTTTTAGTACGAGGGAATAAATCCGAATCCGATCTGGCTATTTCAATATTCCCCCAAGCAGTCTAGAGAATTGCAAATTCATAAAAATTATTTTAAATTATTTGATAAATAATTTAAAAAATTAATTACCCTGCAACGACTGCAAACATCAGTGCTGTCTTCAAATAATATTTTTATAAAAAAGTATTAATATAAAATAAAATACCATTCCCAAAACATTTTCTTGTGCATCAACAATTCCTCCTTTTCCAACTTTTAGAAGAATTTCTGCCTTTAAATTAATTAATTAAATTATAAAAATTATTTATTTTCAAAAATTTCTCTAAAGAAATTTTCAAAAAATATTTCCATTTGTGAATGTTAAAGTGGAAATCAAAAATAATTATTAGGACACGGATTTATATTGAAATAAAATCAGAAAATATGGCCATGAAATATTAAATAAAATAACAAAATGTGTATCAATAAGAATATCGAAAGCTAATTCAATTCTTGGGATTTTCTAGAGAAAAATATTTAACGGAAAATAAGATATTTCAATATAAATCTTCCCTCCCCCTCCCAATTATTACACAAAGTAATTGTCCAGAAACAGCTGCATACATTAAAGGAGTTAATCCATATTGTAAACAATTAGGGACTTCTCCATCTTTAATTAATTTAGTTAATTCTTGTTCATTCCCATTCTGAATAATTATTCTAATATCAACTTAAAATAAATTTAAATCTAAATTTAAATTTAAAGAAAACTTTTTTTGGGCGGTTCTTGTAATGTATTTTCCGTATAATTAAGTCTCATTAAAATTTCAGGTAATCTCAATAATTGGCCCATTCTAATAACATCTAATCCATCCAAACGTTTTATTTGATGCCAGATATGAGCATTTCTAAAAATTTAATAATAAAAAAATATATTCTTAATTAAATTACTGTTGTTTAAGAAAACCACATATTTGAATGTCCATCTCAAAAAAAGCAACCTGAATTAATAATTAAGAATCAAAAAACGAATTTAAAAACCATGTAAGGGGTTGGCGCTATTTGATGCAATCGAACACTAGGTTTAGGATCTACAGCCACATTTAAACTTTTTAATGTTCGAACAACGGCTAAATGACGTCCAGCACAGGCTAATGCCATAGCTGACACTCCAAGACCGCTAACAAATTTTTAAATAAAAATTTAAAAGGAAGAAAGAATATTTTATCTTTAACCTCAAGGAATGTGCATTAGCTCCATAATTAGCTAGTAGGGTTACAATATCCTGATGACCTTCTCGACAGGCGTGAAGGAAAGGTGTCTTTAAAAATAGATATATTTAAATAAAATTAATTAAAAAGTCTTGTAACTTTCATTTAAATATTTACCATTCCAGCATAATTAGCTCTTTCCAAACTAGCACCTTCTTTTATCAAGAATTCAACCTAATATTCAAAATAATCAAATAATTACTAAATAAATTAACAAGTCTTCGATGTCCTTTAGCTGCAGCGATTTGTAGAGCTTTTAAAAGCATTAATTTAATTTAAACAAAAAATAATTTTGTTTCTTAAAAATCAGAAGAAAAAATACCAGTAACTCCATCATCGTCTTCCTCATCAACATCAATTCCCCCATTTAAATATTTGGCAACCTCATTCAGATTTCCACGTTTACAACTTTCCAGCATATTCATTTTGTCTCGTTCCGATTCCTCAAACCAATCTGCGCCTTTTTTTCCACTCATTTTTTTAAATTTTTTTAAATAAAAAAGAAATATTATTTTTTAATTAGTCAATAATATTTTTAATTAAATAAATAAATATATACGTATATATTGATCAGTCATTAAAATGATTTATTAATTATTTTATCGATGATAGGCGAATTCTATTAATTGAATAATAATTTAATAAAATAAATATTTTTAAAATATTAAATGAAGGAGGGAGGATATTTTATTTTGTTAGTAAAAGATATAAAAATCTAGAGATTAAAATTAAAAATAAATTTCTCTTATAAAAACCAATTATTTTAAATTAAAAAAACTTTAATTAATATTTATTCCAATATTTTATAATTTAATATATGTATCATTTAAATTTATTTACCCAAAAATATTATTTAATTTTACTTTATAAAAGTATCATTTAATTAATTATTTCATCCCATTTACTTTCTTAATTTTCATTTACTCATATTCGAGGAGTAACAACTTCAGTAGTTGTTAAAAGATCTTGTAAAGTTACTCGATGCTTGTTATGATGATGACGATGACTTTTATGGTGTCCATGACGAGGACGGTTTGTGGAAGGCAAAGTTTTGTCAGTTAACTAGTATAATTAATTATTTTTTATTTACCCCTCAAGAATGTGAAAGTAAGAAAATAAAACAATTTAAATGTGTATAAATTATAAGAAATACCAAATTTGTGGTATTTTTCCTAATTTCTATGAGAATAAATAAATAAATTTGGATAAAGAAGAAAAATTATTTTGTTTAAAAAAATTTAGTTAATTTCTTTATAATTTAAAAAAATTTAGTTAATTTCTTTATAATTTAAATGTGTAAAAAGAAATGAAAAAAAAAAAAATGAAAAAAAATGGTTTAATTACCCAAGTTTAAGATTTCAGATAAAAAATCAATACGCCGAAATGGCACCCGCAAAATCTGAATTACAACAAGTAATGGACAAATTGGCTGCCTTAGAATCAAAAATCGATAATAACAACATAAAATTTTCCTCTTTCTCTAATGAAATTCTTCAAATCAAAAATGCTTTAACAACAATTGAATCAAAAATTCAAACAGTTGAAACAACAATTGAAACAAATTTTAAAAACAATGAATCATCAGCAAGCGAACAAGAACGCAATCGTTCTATTGTTATTATTGGACTACAAGAATCTAAATCAACAACGCCATCAATTCGTGTTGCTGAAGACAAGTCTGCAATCGAAGATGTACTCAACTTGTTGGGGGTTGAGAGCCCATTCGTTTCGTACAGAATGGGTAAGCATGACCCAACTGCTAAAGGTTGTCGTTTAATAAAAATTGTTTTTGGCGCTTCAAAGTTTCAGCGAATTTCACTTGCTGAATGGAAACGACACAGAGTGGAAATGAAAAAAGAATCAAAATGGTCTCGTTTGTTGATCAGGCCAAGTCTTACTAGAGAACAATTGGAAGCTGAAAGAATTGAACGTGCTAAGAAACGAGATGAATACAATAAAAGAACGAGTGCAAATGTGACTGAAAGAACAAAAAACCATTAAGAGGTCGTCCAAGATTCAAGGTTTTAAAAAACTCTTTAAATATTTCCCCTTTTTATAAATGTCTATATTTTAATAGTAGGAGCTTGGTTAACAAATTAGATGCTTTAAGATTACTTTTACTTTCCAAGTCCTTTAAAATAATTTGTATTTCCGAATCGTGGTTGAACAAAAAGATCGATAATTCCCAAATTTTACATACTTCACCTTATTCCATTGTCAGATGCGATAGAAGTTCTAGGGGCGGTGGTGCTTGTATTTTAGTAGATAATATAATTCCCTTCTCTCCCGTTAAAATTCCTAAAAATAAAAATTCCGACATTGTTGCCATAGACATTTACTCCCCCAAATTTGACAAATTTCGAATAATAACCGTATACCGTCCTACCACAAACGAAAATTTTAAAGACTTCCATGAACTTCTTGATACATTAAGTTATTTAATATCTATTAATCATAACTACATAATCGTAGGTGACTTTAATTTCCCTAATCTAATCTGGAAGACCAACATACCACTCGCTCTCAACCACAAATCACCTTCTGAAAAATTATTTATCGAATTTATAGAAAGCTATAATCTATTTCAAGAAATCTCTTCCCCAACCAGACAAGATAACTATCTCGATTTACTTTTTTCCTCTTCCGCCTTTCGCGTTGTAAAAAATATTACCATTAATGCCCCCTTTAAAAATTCTGACCATAACACCATTGAATTTAACTTAAATTTTAAATATTTTCCCAAAAAACCAGAATTTATACTTGACTTTCATAATGCCGATTACAATCAAATTAACAATATCCTAATTGGTTTAAACTGGAATACCTTGTTTTTAAATTGCACTGATGTAGACTCCCAATATACCCTATTTTTAGAAATCATTCACCAAACAATCCGAAATTTCATACCGTTAAAAAAGATCAATAAAGACCTTACTAGATTCCCAAAACATATTCAAAAAATTATCTCATATAAAAATCTTTTATGGAAAAATATTAATAAACCTGCTATACGTGAAAAATATATTCTCACACAACAAAAAATTGATAAAGAAATTTCTCGTTTCTTTAAAAATAGAGAAATCTCAAAATTCAATGATTCACGATCTAGATTTCAGTATATAGGGGCTTTCCTTAAATCCAAAAAATCCAAAATTCCAATATTCAACATTAATGATAGACTTACCATTTCAGACAAAGATAAAGCCGAATGTCTTGCAATACAATTCAAGTCTGTCTTTAACTCTTCTAACTTTGATTCCTCTGATATAAACAATCCAAACAAAAACACATTATCCTTTATTGATATCAATCCAGAGGAAATCTATAGCACTATAAACAAACTCGACAATGTTAATAACATATCACCGGACGGCATTCCCAACATTTTCTTAAAAAACACCGCAGTCTCATTAACCACTCCATTAACAATTATGTTTAACATGTCAATCATGACAAGTAAAATTCCATCTATATGGAAAAAGTCAATAATCCGACCTATTCCTAAAAATAATAATCCTAACGAACCTAAAGATTTTCGACCTATCTCTCTCTTATGTTCAACCTCTAAAATTTTGGAACGAATTATTTCAAATAAATTAACTTCATTTCTTGAATCGAATAATTACCTTCCTGCTTGCCAACATGGGTTTCGTAAAAACCACTCAGTTATAACTCAACTCCTAGAAACCTATAATGACTACACATTAGCTATCGAAAATAAAAAATGTGTTGACGTTATATTCTTCGACCTGGCAAAAGCGTTTGATACTGTCCCCCACGATCGCCTTCTGAAAAAACTATATCATCTAGGTATCACTGGCGCATTACTAAATTGGATTGACGATTATTTAATAGACCGAACTCTTTCTGTTCTTGTCGAATCTGAAAATTCTAATGAATATCATATAACAAGTGGAGTTCCTCAAGGATCAATCCTCGGCCCTATTTTATTCATCTCATATATATTTGATATAATAGATTTCTGTAAGACAGATAATGTTACACCCAAATTATTTGCTGACGATTTAAAGGCCTATACCTGCTTTGATTTTCCAAATAAAAACCACTATTCTCCACTCCAAACATTTATCCAAAAATTCTCAAAATACTGCGAAATAAATGGCCTTAAAATCGCTATCAGCAAATGTAGCTCACTCCACATAGGAACTAAAAATCCCTTCCACCAATACTCTCTACAAAACATAAATATACCAATCATTCCACCCAACGAACCTATTCGTGATCTAGGCATTTATTTTACATCAAACTTAAAATGGGATTCTCACATTAAAATAATAACAAATAAAGCAACTGGAATTTATTATACTCTTATAAGATCTCTTAAAACTAATAACACTCAATTCCTAACTACTTTATTCAAAATATACGTCTTACCTATCCTCGAATTCGGATCTCCTATAATTAACCCTTATTTAAATAAAGATATAAACTCTTTAGAAAATGTTCAACATAAATTCTTAAAAATATTATACTTACGCTCTATGAAACACAATAACAGCCCAACATTACCTAATTATAAAGAACTCCTTGACCTGTTTAAACTTGAATCTCTATCGCACAGACGTTTAAAATCAAATCTTATCCTTTTCCATAATATTATCTCAGGCAAAATTAAATTAAAACATGATAATTCATTCAGCATTCTCCCTACCACTACTAGAGGTAACCCGCATAATTTATTTATACCCTTTTGTTCAAGCACCATTCGGAAAAACTCATTCTTTATAGACATCCCAAACATTTACAGAAAACTCCCAACAGAATTACAAAAATCGTCAATCGAATTGTTTCCAAAGCTCCTAAACAATATTAACTTAAACAATGTTTTATCAAAGCCACTTTCCATTCAATTGCCTCCAGACCTTATATAAAACAATTGATACATTTTTATTTATTTTATCTGAATGTCACGTTTTTATGCGTATAAATTGAATTGAATTGAATTTAAAATTAAAATATTTAAATAAATACCTCATTTTCTTGTAATATAAGGCCTTCAATCTCAACGTAAAGCAATTGAAAAACAAAAATTGACAAAATAATTTTAGCTAGCATTCTTTAAAATTTAAAATAATTATTTTTAATTTTAACTGCTTTTCTCCTATTTTCTCGTGTGTATTTATTTACTTAAAAAGAATATAAAAAAACTGTTGTTTAAATAAATTGCCAAAATTTAAAAAAAATTTTATTTTTAGAAATTTTTAAATTTAAATAAATAAAAATATTCATTTTAAAATAAAATTTAGCAAAAATCATCAAATATCTCCCCAAAATATATTTAAAATTTCATTTAAAATTCACATGTTTTTAATTTTTTTATAGTTTATATTTTTAAGAATTTTTTTTAAATTAAATTTTATTTTTAGAATATAATAAAATTAATTTTTTAATTTTATCTAAAATTCAAATCGATATTAATTTTTGTTTAGAAATTTGGAAATTAAGCCCCCTAACAATTAATTGCCTAACAAATATTTTTTAAAATTAAATACTTCTAAAAATATACATTCTTTATTCTCTATCAATTAATTATTTAAATAAATTTTTAACGTAAAAACTAGGAACAGGCACTTTGTATTTTGTGAGTTTTTATGTCCAATTTTTAATTCATAGACAATATTAACTAATTTTAGAAGAAATTTTCAGATTACTGGAAAGATTAAAATAAAATAAAAATAAAAATATTTTTATTTAAAATTTTTTAAAAGAAGATTTGCCAAAGAACTGGTTCAAACCTTTTTTTCTAATTAATTCAAAAATAATTAATTGAAAGTTTTGTTAAATCAAATTGTTTTATTATCAAAAAAGAAAATGTTAAAACATATTTTTCAAGAAAAACCAGATGATATTTAGATTTTGTTTTGTTAAAAAACCCCTTTAATTACAAAATTAGTAGCCTTTTATAATTCAAAGTTTTATTTTTGTGTTTCTTTATAAAGAGTATTGACATTTATATCAATAGGTATATTAAAATTTTATTTAAAGATTGTTTTTTTATTATTAATTTAGAAATGCCAAGCAAATCTGTGTATTTAAAGAATAAAAATTAATTTTTATTAATTAAAATATATTTTTTTATTTTTTAATTAATTGAAAGAATATTTAAAAACCAAATTTGTTTAAACTCGAAACTCTTTAAATCACTAATACTTGGTATGTCCCAAACCTTTACAGACAAAAAAATTTTTTTATGAAATAAACATCTGCTTTAAATATAATATAAAATATTCTCATTTTATGTTAAATAAATAATTAAAATCTTTAGAAAAAATATTTGGTATTTAAATTTTTATTTTACTTAAAAATAATCAGCCGTTTAATGTTTTTTCATTTACATGATTTTTTGATAAAATTTATTTAGAAATTTTTTTAAGAAAATTAAATTAAATAATATTTTAATTTAATTTACATATTTTTTATGTCTTTTATATTTATCTTATTAAAGTACTAAATTTATTTTGTGTTTTTGTGTTAATTATAATTTTTATTTATATCTTTTATCTGACTTTTTTTTGCATTTTTTTCAATACTACAAATGTTTTTAAAAAACTTAAAATTTATTCATTTCCTTATTCTCACGTATTAATTAATTTAGACAAAAAATTACCTTTTTTTCACTCTTTTAAAATACATATACCTATTTAGAATTATAAATTTTATTTTTAAATTTATTTTTAGAAATTTAAATCAAAATTTAAAATTATGGAAGCCTCAATAAATCAAACAAATATTTTATTAGATAATAATACTTTTCCAAATCATATGGTAAACAATTAAAATTAAAAATAAATTAAAACTGAGATAAAAAATTTTATTAGAATATTTTGGATTTCCAAAACGTAGGGGGATTCGGAAATTTGAATTCTTCAGATTTAATCCAATGGTAATCCAAGGAAGATGTAAAATTAAATTATCAAACTTTTCTATAAAAATTACTTTAAATTTTATTTATTTTTCTAAATTATTTTCAATTTTAGTTATATAAACAATATAAGAATTCCGGGATAAGTTCAGCACTAATTTTGCCTGCTGTAATGATGAATGTTGCTGGAATACCTGGAATTGCTGCAAATTTGCTTTTAATTTTTGTGACAATTCAAAACAAGTAAATAAAAATATTAAAAATATTTTTAATTAAAAAATTACATTTTTAAGTAAATTGAGAGGGGCAGCTAATTATTTATTGGCTTTAACTGCTTTCTTTGAAATTCTCCATCAATCATCGCATTTCTTATTTTTGGTCATAACAGTTAGTGGCATCAATTTCATAAATTATTCCACAGCTTTACAATTCCAATTACATTCAATTTTTGGGGTAACAGCAGCACAGACATCTATGGCTTCAACAGCCGCTGACAGACTTTTATCTGTTCTGTTCCCATTAAAATATAATAAAATAAATATTCGTCTTTACCTCTCAATCCACACAATTTTGGCTTTTTCTAGTGGAATTTGGATGTCAATAAATGCTATTAACTTATCTAATAAATACCCAACACTTCCCGTTACTGGATATATTTCTGATTTGTTAGTTCTAGATATGGAAATAATGTTCCAATTTATTATGCTTCTATGCGGAATTAATGCTCTATTATATTTATTTGTTTGGATTGTTGTACGTTGGTTTCATTCAGGTAGAAAATAAATAAAATATTTTCTTTAATTTTTAAATTAAATTTTAGCAAACAATGATGGAGGTCTTTCATCAGATACTCAATCACGTCTTCTTAAATCCCTTATTTTAATTGTCTCTATCGTTATTGGTGGTTTTGTAATTAATAGTATTTGTCGAATGATTATTAATCATTTCTTCAATTTAAATGATATACAAGTAGGAAAAAATTCTGGAAAAATAATTTAAAAAATATTTTTTAGATTTGGTCAGTTAATGTGTTTGGAGGAATTCTTTTAAATATTGGGGCTTCTGCAGAGACCCCCACACTTTATATTTTTAGTTCATTATATCGAGAAGCTATCAACAAACAATTAAAATTAATTTTTTGCAAAAAGAAGCAGCAGAAAAATGTAATTTCAGTCGTTCCCGGTCTATTTAATAATAGTGGAGGGCTTGTTAGGGATGAAGGATTTAATGGAAAAACAAAACAATTGACAAGCATAAATAAAGCAATTGTTTTAAATAAAAATAATTCCAGCATTTTTTTAAATAAATAATTAAATTTTTTTGAAATATTTGTAAATATGTATGTATAAATGTTGTACATATGTATTTTTAATTTAAATTAATTAAAAAAACATTTAATTTTATTCCACAAATTTATTTATGTAATTTTCACAGTTTATCAATTAAAAACATTTAATTTATATAAATAAAACCAAAAACTACAAATCTCTACAACTTTTAAGTTGAAAATTTTTTAAAATTAATTTTTAGTTATTCAAAATATATTTTATAATCATTTTGGTCTAAAAATTAAATTTTATTATAAATAACTTTTTACGATATTATCCTGTCATGCCACTATTAAATTGGATAAAATTGAAATAAAATTAAATATGTTTGTTTATTTCCAATCATTTTAATTTTATCAAATTTTAAAAATAAAATTTTTGAACAAAATAGAAAGTTCAATATTTTATTTTATTTAAGATATCATTTGACCACATACATAAAACTATAGTTGTATGTATGTGGTCAAATTTAATAGTTTTAAAATAAAATATTCAATTAAAAATATTCCTTTCTAGGAATTTGGAAAGTAAAAATAGATTATTGAGAATTGAAAAAAAGCAAAGATCTTTTGCTTAATCAACTGTAAAAAATTTGTTTCAAATAAAATATTAAGCAATTTCCTCACACCTTTTTGCTAATTTTTGTATTTGAAACAAAAAATTTTATTTTTTATTTTATTTCAAAGGTTTAATTATTATGTACTCATTTAAAGTTGTAAATATATACAAATTGTAAATTAAATTGGAAGCGGAATGAAAAGGGAAAAATAAAAATTAAAAAGGAAACTTTCTCTTCATTTAAATAAACATTCATTAAAGAATAATTATTATTTTATGTTTTTGGATAAACATTATTATTATTAACAATTCCTCCACCTCCTCCTCCACCATTTATTAATTGTTTTGTTTTTACTCCACTACAGTTAACAAAACCAGGAGCTGCCGAAATTTTATTTTTTTGGAATTTTTTGCATAAAAAACGTTTTAATTGTTTGTTGATTGCTTCTCGATAAATACTACTGAAAATTAATTTTAACGAATAAATATGTATGTTAATTAACTACACTACAGTAATTAATTTACCTAAAAATATAAAGTATTGGAGTTTCAGCAGAAGCTCCAATATTTAAAAGAGTTCCACCAAACATTCCAATAGACCAATTCTAAATAATTATTTTTAAATTTTATTTTAATTCTCCTGTATTACTTGAATGTCATTAAGTTTAAAAAATTGATTAACAATTAATCTGTATATACTATTTATTACATATCCACCAATAACTATCGAAACAATTAAAATTAGAGATTTAAGAAGGCGTGATTGAGTATCTGATGGAATACCTCCACTGTTAGTTGCTTTAAAAAATAATTAATTTTTGATAGTTCTAAATAATTGTTTTTACATTTATGAGAGCAACGGATAACTATCCAAATAATTAAATAAATTACGGCATTTAATGCGCACAGAATCATGATAAATTTAAATATTATTTGCATGTCAAGAACAAATAAATCTCCAATCCTGCCGGTAACGGGAAGTGTTGGGTATTTATTTGATAAATTAATAGCATTTATTGACATCCAAATTCCACTAGAAAAAGCCAAAACTGTGTGGACAAGCAAATAAGGGCGAATATCTAGTTGATTATATTTAATTGGGAACAGAACAGATAAAAGTCTGTCGGCAGCTGTTGAAGCCATGGATGTCTGTGCTGCTGTTATCCCAAAAATTGAATGTAATTGGAATTTAATAGCTGTAGAATAATTAATGAAATTAATTCCGCTTATTGATATCGCTAGAAAAACAAGATGGCTTGATTGATGGAGAATTTCAAAGAAAGCAGTTATAGCCAATAAATAATTAGCTGCCCCTCTCAATTTACTTAAAATTTAATTTTTTAATTAAAAATATTTTTAAATATTTTTATTTACTTGTTTCTTATTGTTACAAAAATTAAAAGCATGTTTGATGCAATTCCAGGTATCCCAATAAAATTTAAAACCAATGCAGGAATAATTAATGCACTAGTTAAGCCTACATTTTTGTATTCTACAAAAAGCTGAAAATAATAAGAAATTAAAATTATTTGAATAGTATAAATAAATTATCAGATTTTTTAAATTTAAATCCTTAAGACTTATTACTAGAAAATTATTTAGGAGCTGTTTAGAAATTTAGATTTCCGAGGGTTTTTTTTCGAACCACCTCTGATCGGTTGAGCTCAACAAAGCAAAGTTATTGCCTGCTCACAACCCTACTATTTATTTCAATCCCCTTTATCAACTCGAGACTGAAACAAACAAAACTTTAATCAAAATAATTTTCAATTTTTTACCAGGTATATGTAAATAATTCGAATAAAGATTTGATTTAGATATTTGGTCGGTCTCTATTAAGCTAGAAGAGTACTTAGACGGCCTTAAAATAATTTTTTATCTATTTTCTGGATTTTAAAATTACTCATTTTTAAACAAAAATTAAAAACTACTCACCATATAATTTGGATAATTATTATTGGCTAGTATTTTTGTTTGATTGACTATTAAAGATTGCATAATCAAATTTAATAAAAAATTTAAAAATAATTTAAGCTTAAAAATAAAATATTTTTTAATACATACATATTTATTAATCATAATTTTCTTAAACTATTTAATACAAACTAACATAAACTATAAATAAAAAAAAAGAATTATTTAAATAATTCTTTTTTAAATGTCAATTAATTATTTTTAAAAAATAAATAAAATTATGAGAAAAGACAAAAATAAATATTAAATTAACAATAAATAAATTTATTTAAATTTAAAAAATTTTGAAACATTAAAGTTTTTTAGAATATCTAAATAAAGATTAAAAATATATCTACACACTATGTGAATTTTTAATTGAATAGAAATTAATTTTGGCTAATTCTAAAAATAAATTATTAATATTATAAAGTAAAATAAACTAAAGAAAACATTTCCAATTAAAAAAGACAAATAACATTTTCATTCTAGTAGAATGGCAATCTTTTTATTTTTCATGACTCCTCAAATTCTTCATTCTATCAAAAGTGCCATTTGGTTTATTCTAAATATTAGAATAAACACGATAGTTCTCAGTCCTAAACAGAACTGTATCGAAAATAAAAGGTTATCGAAATTTAAAATGAAAATGGAAAAAATACGAAATTATCGAAATCGAAAATCTTCAGAATAATTCGAAAATTGTTGATCAAATAATAACAGAAAATTTAAAATTCGACAAATATTTCTAAATAGATTTACAAATTTGTATATGACCAAATTTGTATTTATCTTCAAAAGAAATTAAAAATTCTTCTTAATTGCTACATACATATTATTGTTTATATTCCCAAATTTTAATACTTAAAAATAGGGATAATTCTTTATTTCCTATAATACGGCTACACGGGGCTGTTTTTTCAATAATCTTTCAGAATTGGTTGAATTAGAGAGGGGGCTCTAATTAAGGGTAGAGCTTTATTAAAGGAAATATTTGCATTATTTCTTCAATCTTTTTTTAATTTAAAATTTCAAAGAAAGTTATATTACCTACATAAATATTTTATTGTTTTGTTCTTAGAAAGACGCCTTAAATTGACGATATTTTTTAAGTCAGTTCATTTGTTTCATTGAAATTCCAATGTCTTTTTTTACATTTTTTTCTTTAAATGCAATTTATATGTTCGAAAATCGAAAAGCTTATAACAAATTATTTTCTTGTTGATATGTTTGTCTGGATAAAATTAAATTTTTAACTGAACAGAAAGTTAAGTGAAATTAATGATAATATCATCTACATCAGAGGTGTTTCGAAATTTCGATTTTCGTTTTTCGATTTTCGAGGTTTTTTTCCTTTCGATTTTCGATTTCCGATTTTCGAAATTTTGTGATATTTTCGATTTTCGATTTCCGAATTTTTGAAAAAATTTGAATTTTTGGCGCCAAAAATGAGGAATTCTGGCTTATCGGCCATCATAAATTTAAAAAATTTTCGCCTGCGGCGCAGAAAGAAGAAGATTTTTAGCTTAAGGATGCTCCAAAATTCTCAAAATTTCCGCCTGCGGCGCAGAAAAAAGAAGATTTTTGGCTTAAGGATGTTCCAAAATTCTCAAAATTTTCGCCTGCGGCGCTAATTGGAAGAAGCCCTGATCTAATAACAATATTATGCTTCGGCTCCGGTTATTGGGTATTTGCTTGAATTAAGTTAGCTCTAGTATATTGGAGGATTTGCGTGAATTAAGGTGGATTTGGAAGCTCCCTTCCCCATGCCAACCCTATGCCAGGTACCGCCCAACCATGAGTAAAGCGACCTAGTTCTGCTTTACTATATTAGGGGATTTTACTCAAATCCTCCATTATTCCTCTTAATACACACAGATCTCATGATGAGAGATCCACTCGAGACCTAACATAACAAAAATTAATTTCAAATTTTTTATTAAAAAAATTTTTTCGATTTTCGTTTTTCGATTTTCGATTTTCGAGGTTATTTTTCTTTCGATTTTCGATTTCGAAGATTTTAAAAATATTTTCGATTTTCGATTTCGATATTTTTGGATTTCTTTCGATTTTCGATTTCCGATTTTCGAAGATTTTTTTGTTTCGAAACACCTCTGATCTACATACAAAATTTAATTTTTTTTATTTTAGCCAAACTCAAAAGATTCTATTTTAAATATTAGCTACATTCTAATTCCATTTATTCGTTTATTTATATGTACAAGTTACTCAAATTTGCCAAGGTTATTAGTTTTTATAATTTAGGTAAGTATATCTCCCCACATTTCTTTTATCCGCTTTTCTCCCAAAATTCCCTAAATGTTATGAATTCTATTACATAAAAATATCGTTAAATATTTTACTTTGATGAAAAAGCCAAAGCTTTTAACACCCACAATAATAGATTCGGGTATATTGCTATGGGTGTTAAACCATCCATAATTTTATTAGATAACTACTATGAATCAAAAAAATCTTTATAACTCTCGTTATTACTCATTTGAATTTTTTATCATTTTCGATGCAGCTCCAATTATTTTAATTAGATACAATTTAAGAATGAAAGATTAAAAGATACAAATTCATAAATTAATTACCTTAAACAATTTATTTTTTATTTTAAATTTAAACACTCCCATATTTTTCTATTTTTGAATAATTATTGTAGAAATAAACCTTAATAAATAAATATAATTTAATTTGGCCATACCTTTCCTTAACTTATTTAAATAAACAAAAATATAATAATATCTCGTACAATTAATTTTTATTCTCTAAATATTTTTAAAAAATATTTATTCGGTCACCGGATGGGAGAACTGCCTACTTGATATCTATATTAAAAGACAAGGTTGTTTCTGTAGATATTTAGTAAAATAATGTTTTTTAAATTCAGATTTTAATTCTCATAATTAATTAAAATACCCAAATTATTTGAAAAAAATTACAATTTTAAAAGTATAATTTTGTTGAGAATATTTTTGAAAAAATATTTTCTAATTTTTTAAATAAAATTTTTGTTTTTAGATTTATTTTTATAATTTTCAATTAAAATAACTATGCAAACTAATAATATTAACGAATATTCTTTTAATCAAACAAGCATTGAATATTTTCCAAATAAAATGGTAATTACCTATATTTTTTAATTAAATTCTGAATTAATATTTAATAAAAATTATAAAAAATCATTTTTCGTATATGGATCTTTAGTATATTAATTTATCTAAACACAATTTCATATTCCTGTACAAAAATCTCAAAATAATCTTTTAATTCTTTTTTAGTTGTATGAACAATATAAAAATGCTGGCCCAAGTTTAACATTAATTTTGCCGTCAGTGCTTTTAAATGTTGCTGGAGTTCCAGGAATTGTTGCAAATTTTATTTTAATTTTTGTAACAATTTTAAACAAGTTTATAGTTTTAAAGTTTTTATTATATTAATTTATTTAAGAAAATTGAGAGGGCCAACAAATTATTTATTGGCTTTAACTGCTTTTTTTGAAATTCTCCATCAATCTGCCCATTTTGTTTTTTTATTTGTTGCGGCCAGTGGAATTAATTTTATTAATTATTCTACAGCTTTACAGTTCGAATTACATACAATTTTTGGAGCAACAGCAGCACAGACAGCA